AGACTCCACTAAGAGACTATTGGAACTCATAGGAGAATTTGGTAAAGCTGCAGGATATTAAATCAACAAAGAAAGATCAATAGCCTTTGTATACTCAGACAATGCCACAACTGAGAAATAACTTTTAAGACAGGAGGCTCCTCTGCAGATCTTTCCTGAGTAAGTTCAACTTTGTGGTTTCTAGTGGGATGGATCCATGAGGCATACACCTTATCTTTAGCAGTAGCAAAAGTTTGTCCAGCTGCATCCTTAGCCTTATCTCTAGCATGTTTTTCTAACAGTGAATCTTGTATTTGTAACATCTTTTCCAATATAAAGAAGCTGAATGAATAGTCCTTAAATCAAATGCAGGTTCTTTTTTGCTTAACGACTCTTTCACAACTTATCTTATTCTCCTCCCACTTAATTATAAACAACAAAAATAAACTATTTCACACATTCAGCACTTTGCTGAGAAATCTCCTCAGCTAAATACACAATTACTTATAAGTTCTGCATTGCACATGACCAAACGACACAATCAACTAAATTTTATGCCAATATATGACAATGATAGTCACTCTTCCAGCTCCTAAAGCATGTTCCTTAATTTCTCTAGAGCTCATATCAGCAGTGCATTATAATAACTACTTATCTATCAACAGTCTGTTGATGGTGACATATGTATTTTCTACTATAGTCTACTAACTTTCTCCCAATTCTGAAAGTACTACAGGTTTTCTCAGCTAGACTGCTGCTAGGTTCTGTCCTGAACCAATTCCCTATTCTACAGTAAGAGTGATCTTTCTAAAACTAAAATTTGATCAATTCACTTCCCTATATTAAACCTTTGACTAACTCCCATTACTATTAGATATAAGTACAAATAGCAGAGATATATAAAGTCATTCTTGACTTGGTGCCCCCACCCCCACAACCTCATCTAGTTCTGTCTTTTCACCTTCAAGTACTCCATGCAGCCTGAACCATCAAATCCTATTTTCAAAGTACCATGTTTACTTTGCTTTCGACTAAGCTAAAGAGCTCTGCCTTGCTGGGCCAAACAACTAGCTAATATCCATATATCTTCCAGAATTTGACAGAGATCACTGTGCATAAGAATCACCCTTCACACTTTAAGTGGGTAAACTGTACAGTGTGTGAATTATACCTCATTTTAAAAGAAGAATACATCCTTTCCAGCGATGCTCTCAAACTCATCTAGGGTAATACATACCTTCCACTTCTCAAGCCATTCATTGCCCACTTCCATAATATACATACTGTGCTGTGATCTACTGAATCATATAGCTTTTCAAAGACTGGGCCACTAAGTAAATTATCTTCACATTCTCCTCTACTAAAATGATGTCTGTCAACAGTGAATACTCAGTAAATGCTTGTTGAATGAATGACAAAAAAATTTGAACCTTAAATACTGTGACACATCATTGAAATCAATTATAATAAATCTAGCGAGTGTTATAACTGAGTTTATAGTCACTTGCATTGAAGTTAATTGGGTATAATTTGCCACTTAGAAAATAAATCACTTTAAGGTTGATGTGACACCAGCCTTGAAAATTCAAAGTATTAGCACATGAATGTGCTGGTATCTTAAAGCAATGTAATTATTCCCCATTGAAATACAGCCTTTGCCCTCAATTTGAAATCCAGGAGTCAGTGTTCATATATCACTCTGCCTAACTTTCTTCAGGGATGAATCACCATCAGGCTGCCATCCACTGTCTTTAATTAGTTTTAAAGCATTTTTCTAAGAGCTTGAGGCCTTCCAACTTCAACTCCATTAATCTTCTTGGCTGCCACATTAGAGAACAAATAAAATGAACATGTTGTTTTTAGTTGGTCTATATTATTCACTATAAATATTAAAACCTGTACTCCCATGCAGTGGAAGAATTCATTTTTGCATCACAAAATATATAAACTTTAATGTTTTTTCCTGTTTTCAAAGATTTTCCACAAATGGCAATGATCAATCTTTATAGTGTATTTCTAACAAGCAAGTTTCCATAATTGTCAAAATAACAGAATAGTTTGTAATGATACACATTCTGGAAGATAATACAGATCAGAAGGATTATATCCGGATGGCATCAGCACTTTTTAGAAACTTTATCTATTAATTGCTTCCCTAAGCAGTATGTTTCCTGGCACAGGAAACCTGACTTCCTCTTTACCATTCATCATAACAGAGAGGATGTGGGGGGAAAAAAGATAAGGTGAACTGTATAGTTTACCTGCAGAGTATCTCTTGCCTTCCCAAACATTCTAAGCTACAGTGGGAGAAGAGCTGGAGTCTCTATAAGTAACTCCCAGTTTTCTGTCTTCTATGTTCAGAAGGGGAGATTGCATCTAAATGACCTCTGCTACTGTGTTCTTATTACTCTCTGCCTCAACACTTTGTAGTTTTGTTCAGTTTATCCCTTTACTATCAATCTCTCTGAGTAGTCGCAATGATGCCATGAGGTATCTTATGCCATGAGGTCTTCTTATTCTCTTACCAACAACCCTAACTATTATAGGAAGGCAATGAATGTTGGGATGAAGGAAAAAAGAAACAGAAAATTAACATCTGAAGGGCCATGCTGTCTGGGATGAAAATTATGCAGTGCAAAAGCTCTAACAGGGATACGTTTTTAATAAAGGGAGAGTGGGCAGTGCAGGACCAACCACATATCAATGTCTTACAGTTGGAAGTGAGGAGCCTTAGAGAAGAAAAACATGTCCAAAGCACTTCTCATTTCCTATTCAATATCCTTTGCTTTGCTTTGGTTTTATTAATAAGATTGCAACAGTATTAGTTCAAAGTGTTCCTCACATGACATTGTGGTCTGCATAGACTTGCTGGTCAGTCTGCCATTTATACCATTATTTCAATCAGAAAATGAGTTACAGATTGCAACTAACTGGCTCACAGATGCTTAAAACACAGTCAAGAAACAAATTATGACCTGGCTCCCTGTCATCCCCACTGTCCTTTATTTCTCTCTTCCCCTTCATTTCTCTCTCTCTCTCTCTCTCTCTCTCTCTCTCTCTCTCTCTGTCTCACACACAACCACAAATTTATATACTTTTTGAAACAAGAGCACAAACCAATAGTCAAACCAAGTCTCACATCTAGTTCCCAAATCCTATAATTCTTACTAAATAATAATTTTGGATAAGATCTACTGAGCTCAGACTATCCCTACTGAATGCACTCCATCCCTATTATCACCCTGGTTGAGACCTTAAACCCCATGGCAGTTCTGTCAAAATGACCAGCTAATTAATGTTGTGATTCCAGTCTCTTCTTCATCCTGCACACACCAGTTGCTCATAAACTGCCCCTAAATCACTCCCTTCCATCAAATTATTCTTGCTCCTCTTCCAGTCTAGCTCTCTGCTGTGGCCCGGGAGGGCAGTGGAGGATGGCCCAAGTGCTTGGGTCCCTGAACCCGCATGGGAGACCAGGAGAAGCACCCGGCTCCTGGCTTTGAATCGGCACAGCCCCGGGCGTAGCGGCCATTTGGGGAGTGAACCAACGGAAGGAAGACCTTTCTCTCTGTCTCTCTCTGTCACTAGCTATAACCACCTTTCAAATAATTAAAAAAATAAAACTTGTAGTCAAGAACCTCCATGTTATGCCTTTCTAATCTTATTTCCTATCACCCCACAGGAACAATTAACTGTATCCTCCAGACCTCATTAAGGGTATTTCATTATTTCTTGGGCATACCTTCAACCATCTCTCCTGTGTGTCATTACTCATATTAGTTCTCCCTGTCTTCTTTACATTCCCAGTCAGACTTTCACAACCAAATCTAAGTTCAAGTCCCTGGTAAAAATTTTTCAACCACTCTCAGATGGCTTGCTTCCTATATTCCTTTAAGAATTTATTATTTCCCCACACGTTAGTCAATGTTGTCACATATTTTCAGGTATCCTATGCAAGCCTTATAGAAACCCTATGAAATAAGCATTATAGGAATCTACACTATTCAGATGAGAAGAAAGGTATTTGGAGATGTTAAGTGACTTATTCAGGCTCATAGCTGTGACGTACAGAGATTATCTACAAACCAAGGTCTGTGCCTCTACATGAAGTACATATTTGGCACTTACTAGAAACAGTGTTATGGTGCTAATCATTTGCATCATTTTGTTCAGTCTTCCAAATTAGATTATAAATTCCTTGAAGTCAGTAGTTCTATATAGAACTTGCCCCACTGATAATACCCAAACGAGAATTCAATGAATATTTGCTTGAGCAATTCCAAGTGCAGTTCAATCTTGACCCTATTTAAGACTCAGTGATACTTCTTTTCCCTATAATGTCCAATATTTAGATTCTGAATTCTCAACTGAACACTTCATAATAAATACAATATATCTCAGGTATTATTTCACTTCTTGAATTAGTCTCCCCCCACCCCATCAAATATACCAAAGCAAATTTCAAATTCCCAGAGGACAGTTACCTTTGATGAACAAAAGGAGATCTTCTGATTTTTAAATGTTGGCCATGAATTATAGGATTAAAGGTGGGTACAAACTGCATTTCCAAAATAATATCAAGTAAGAATCATCTAGAATTCTTGCTAAAAACACATATGTCTAAGATTTTAATTCATTATTTCTTAATCATAGGTTTCCCTACTCTTGATTTTTATTCAGTATATTATCGCAGAGAGTTTACTATAAAATAATGGACCAGTGGCAAAGTGTCATTTACTAAAGGTTCTGTAACAGACCAAGATGTTTGTGTTAATTCAATTATTTGTTTGGGCATGAGTGCTTGTGGTTGTGATTCATACTACATCCAAAATTCTTTCTGGTTTGTAAAAGAGGGTAGAATATTTCAGTATTTCATGGTGTTCCACAAAAATTGTCTACAGCATCTACAATCTGGAAGTCACTAAACAAGAAAAAGTCATCTGGATGAATTTAAATAGTCAAAAGATTTCATGAAGAGAAAAGAACTTCATCCCCTATAGCTGAATTGAGGAAGTACTCACAGGCTCTCCCCGCGGTCCGTCTTGCCCTGGAGCACCTGGAGGTCCTGCTTCTCCCTTTTAATCATTTGATAAAAAGAAACAGAGAACTTCATTTGCAGGCCTTCTTACTAACATAATATTATATAACATCACATACAAGAGCACATTAGATACAAAATCACTTCTGAAATATTAAGATTAACCTTTCCTGACATGAAATAACTTTTTCAAAAATACATGGAGTAAACAAAATCCACTTCAAAAATTTATAACTGATGGCACATGATTCCATTTTTATACAACAATTATTGTTCTTTATAGTCATTCTTATCAAAATAGGACACTCTTATCTTCAGAGTAAATATGACCAACACTACCAGTCCTGTTCATATCCATTTTGATTTTCATTTCTACTTTAAATTTGACTATCCTATTGGATTTAAATGTCATTGCTTTCCAACAGTTTCATCCTAAAATAAAAATAAAACTTTCATTAAGAATGGAGTTATTTCTAGCCTGTTACTTAAAATTATATGGCATATTAATTTAGCATCCATTTAAAATAAACATCTAGGGGGCTGGTGCAGTAGCATAATGGGTAATTCAGATGAGAAGAAAGGTATTTGGAGATGTTAAGTGACTTATTCAGGCTCATAGCTGTGACGTACAGAGATTATCTACAAACCAAGGTCTGTGCCTCTACATGAAGTACATATTTGGCACTTACTAGAAACAGTGCTATGGTGCTAATCATTTGCATCATTTTGTTCAGTCTTCCAAGTAAAACATAAAATGTGTAATATCCTCACATTGACATCAACTAAAATTTTTGAGCAAAATAAAGAGTAATGGGAGGGAGTATCCTGAAATACAATAACACACCCTCAAACATTTACACTTTGGAAACCAGTCATTAATAGCCATGATTCTGTTCCTGTTTGTAAAGTGCTGCATCACAGCAAACAAGTTTGCTGGAAGCAATCATGGCACACTTGTTTCATACCGTGGAGATCATTTCATCCTAGATGACAACAGTAAGTGAATGTCTCAAATACCTGAACTGAAGTACATTTTACAGGGGAAGAGTGTTAGAATACATACACTGAAGCATTTTCTTTTTTTTTTAATTTTATTTTTCCCAAAGAAACCTTTTATTTAAGGAATACAGACTTCATGCATTTCATAAGTACAACTTTAAAAATACATTGATTCTTCCCACCACACCTGCCCTCCCACCTACTCTCCCATCCTTACTCCTCCTCCTTCTCCCATTTCCAGTTCCATTCTCTACTAAGATCCATTTTCAATTAACTTTATACACAGAAGACCAACTCTATATTAATATAAGGATTCAACAATTTGAATGAAAAAAATAAAACTTGAAGCTGGTGCTGTGGCGTAGCAGGTAAAGCCGCTGCCTTCAGTGCCCACATCCCATATGGGCACCAGCTCAAGCCCCAGCTGCTCCACTTCTGAACCAGCTCTCTGTTGTGGCTTGGGAAGGCAGTACAAGATGGCTAGGAAGTGAACCAGTGAATGAAAAGTACCTCTCTCTCTCTCTCTCTCTCTCTCTCTCTTTCTCTGCCTCTCTGTAACTCTGCCCTTCAAATAAAATAAACACATCTTTAAAAAAATCTGTTCTTCAACAGTTAAGACAAGCACTGTTCAAAGTCACTGCATCTGTAAGTTAATTTCACTTCTTTTATTTTTTTAGAAACGGAGTTAACTTGAAAGACACACCCAACAGTGATACATCTTTTGGGCACACTTAGACATAATTATAACTTGTGAGACATAAGAATATCCTCCACTTAATGCACTAAAATGAATTAAATATTTGAGAACAAGTTTTACAGTTAACTCTCATAATACAACTCTTTGAGGATAGAGATCCTGCATAGGAAGTTACTGCACAGTGACTCCTGTTGTTAATTTAACAATTAACACTCTTATGTATGACATCAGTCATCACCTGAGGCTCTTGATATGAGTTTCTTAGACTGTGGAAGCCTTTTGAATCCACAAACTCCTTCAGTATTTAGACAAGGCCATAAGCAAAGTCGAAGTTCTCCCTTCAGAGAAAAGTACCTCCTTCTTTGATGACCATTTTATCCACTGGGGTGTCACCCACAGAAGTCCTTCACATAGGACATTTTTTGCCACAGTGTCTTGGCTTTACATGCTTGAAATACTCTCAGCTTTTCAGCCAGACCAGAATGCCTTAAGGGCTGATTCTGAGGTCAGAGTGTTACTCAAAGCAATTGTCATTCTATGCGTCTGCTTCCCATGTTTAACTCTATCTATTATTATCACCAGACCTTTAATCTTATTTATATGATAACTTTAACACTTAAGATGGTATTTTTGGGCCAGCACCGTGGCTCACAGGGTAATCCTCTGCCTGCAGCACCAGTACTCTGGGTTCTAGTCCCAGTTGGGGCGACGGTTCTGTCCTGGTTGCTCCTCTTCCAGTCTAGCTCTCTGCTGTGGCCCAGGAGCGCAGTGGAGGATGGCCCAAATGCTTGGGCCCTGCACCCGCATGGGAGACCAGGAGAAAGCACCTGGCTCCTGGCTTCGGATCAGCATAGTATGCCTGCCATAGCGGCCATTTGGGGGATGAACCAACAGAAAAGGATGATCTTTCTCTCTCTCTCTCTCTCTCTCTCTCTCTCTAACTCTGCCTGTCCAAAAAAAAAAAAAAAAGATGGTATTTTTACCACCCAAGTTAAGAGGATTTGGGGACTCATGGCAAGTTGTTTTTTTTTTTTGTTTTTTTTTTTTTTATTTTTTTTTATTTTTGATAGGCAGAGTGGACAGTGAGAAAGAGAGACAGAGAGAGAAAGGTCTTCCTTTTGCCGTTGGTTCACCCTCCAATGGCCGCCGCTGCAGCCGGCACACCGCGCTGATCCGATGGCAGGAGCCAGAATCCAGGTGCTTTTCCTGGTCTCCCATGGGGTGCAGGGCCCAAGCACCTGGGCCATCCTCCACTGCACTCCCTGGCCACAGCAGAGAGCTGGCCTGGAAGAGGGGCAACCGGGACAGAATCCGGCGCCCCGACCGGGACTAGAACCCGGTGTGCCGGCGCCGCGAGGTGGAGGATTAGCCTATTGAGCCACGGCGCCGGCTCTCATGGCAAGTTTTTAAAATGTACCCTTAGAAGAAAGTCTGTAGGAATGTATGTAGAACATTACAGCTTTACAGTTACAAACTTCATATACTTCATAATTAAAACTTTAGGAATACAGTGATTCCTGAAGCATTTTTTAAAAGTTTTTCACAGTTCTGTATCTAATCAATTTCCCAAAATTGTAGAAAAGGATACAAAAAGGTCTATCAAGTTTAGCAAACATAATGACCTCTTAGAAAAAAATGCAACCATATCACCTTATAAAACTGATTCTTCCAATCTTATGAGATCTTGCATTTTATTAGCACAGTGAACATACCAACTAAAGCCAAATATCTCAATTCTTCCAGTTTTAGTTACAAACTCTAGTTGACTAGAGGAAGAAAGAATAATGTTTTCCTGTAAGTTAACCAAATTAGAGAGAAGGAAGTACCTATGGATCCAATGGCTCTAAAGAAAAGCTTATGAAAATATCATAGAAAATAAAAATGTAGGTTGGGTTCACTTAATTTGAAAGCTACAGTCTAAAAGTCTAGAAAGTCATCACATCTCAAAGTGTCAATTTTGTGTCTATAGATCACCTTTTACTCTATTAGTTATCACAGATCAGGGAGAACATATGATATTTGTCTTTTGAGGACTGGTGTACAATGACTTTCAACAGCCTTGACTTGACTCTCAGGAACAGTTATATAAATATACACACACATACACACACACACACACACACACATATATAGATATATATACACACACACACATACACACAATTTGTCGAACTCTATTTACTGTAGGGTTAATATTATGTGTATAAAGTTTATTGAAAATAGATCTGTGCAAAAAATAGGAATGGGAATAGGAGAAGGGGGAGGAAGAAGGGTAGGAGTCTGGGTGGGAAGGAGGGTAGGATGGGAAGAATCACTATGTTCCTAAATTTGTATTTATGAAATACATGGAGTTTGTATATCTTAAATAAAAGATTTGTGGGGGGAAAAAGTCTACAAAAATTAGAGAAAAGGGTATAGATCTTTTAGCTAGCTAGCTAGATAGATAGATATAGATCTTAAATACTACATGGAAATAAGGCAATATCACTATGTCTGAGCTTAATGTTCCTATCAATAGTCAAAGGAATCTTCCAGGGCCAGAGTTGTGGTATATCAGGTTAAAACTCCACTCGCAAAACTGGCATCCCATATCAGAGCACCAATTTGAATCCCAGTTTTTCCTGCACTGCTTCCAATCTAATTCCCTGTAGATGCTCATGGGAAAGCAGTATAAAATGGCCCAAGTACTTGTCTACCTACCACCCAGGTGGGAGGCTCCAATGGAGTTCCTGGCTCTTGGCTGTTGTAGACATTGGGGGAGTGAACCAAGGAATGGAAGATCTCTCTCTCTCTCTATCTCTATCTCTCTATCTCTCTCTCTTCCCCTCCTTCCTTCCCTCCCCTCTCATTGTCTTTGACTTTCAAATAAATAAAATAAACCTTTTTTTAAAAAAAGCAGGGTAGGAAAAAGGAGGAATCCTCCAACTAAATGTGGTCCTCAAATGTGGTCCTCAAATCAGCCTCTTCACTTAACATGGAAATATTAAATGCAAAATTTCTGGTAATCATCATGTTATTTTTAATTTCAGTGAGATCACTTTTTCCCCTTTTTTAAAGTTCCACATGAGTGAGATCACCTGATACTTATCTATCTGTGCATGGTTATTTCATTTAATATAATAAGCTCCAGTTTATATCTGTATTGTTGCAAATGACAAAATGTGTACTTTTTATGACTAGGTAGTATTCCATTATATATATATATATATATATATATATATATACACCACATTTTCTTTATTCATTCATCAGTGGATGGACACTTAGGTTGTTTCCATGGAAGAGTGGGAAAAGGTTGATTAATGAGTATGAGGCTATAGCTAGATGGGCGTAGGAAGTTC